ATCCAGGTCTTTATGTCTTTAAGACATTCCTGCAGTTTAACTCATTGGTGTGTGTTATCTGGCTTCATGGACAGATAGAGCTGGGTGTCATCAGCATAGCAGTGTAAATGTATGCTATGTCTTCTAATGATGCTGCCTAAGGGAAGCATGTATAATGTAAACAGAATTGGTCCTAGCACTGATAAATATTGTTTTGTGTTCTTCTTTACAGCCTACAGGTCAGCTGTAGCACAGACTTCAGGCTTCCGTGGATGAAGAGTTTAACGCGGCACCCCTCTAGATGAATTCTGCCTACACATCCAATTTATTTATTAACTCTGTGAAAGTGGAAGATTTCACCACAGAATAAGAGAGAGAGAGGGCAACTATCACACAGGAAAGAATGAAAAGAGCTGAAAGCACCACATTAGATCTGATGAGGTTGGTCACAGGAGACTTTATATGCTCTTTAATTCAGTCTGATTGTGTTCCCACTGTGGTCAAATACACATCGTGGTCAAACGTTTCCAACTACTCATCATGGTGATGAATGTCATGTAATCGACTCTGCGTACTTTTCTTTTTTGAGGTGAAATAATTGTCCAGCATACACCTTTAGTGAGTGAAAAACGAGAGTTTGAGTTTAGTTTGGATTTCTTGTAACACTCACAGGGTCACATGTTTATATACAGGCACAAAAATACAATATTTAGCGAAAGTGGAAATCTTTGGTTGGTAAAGATGATGTTAAAGATGTAGGTTATCACCTCAGGGGTGGTCCTGAGAGCCTTTTACTGTAATCATGTGGGTCATTAATGGACATGAGCCAAGGCATTATTACAGTCACAGGAGCCAGGGTATGACTGGGGGTTGAAATCCCTGCATTTTAGGCCACTGATAGCTGTTGTCGTGAGCCACCCCCTCTGTTCAGTGAAGCTCTTCCAGTTTCTCTTCTTTTCTTTAAGTGTATACGTCCTGGAGAGCTGGCACTCTCTTTAGGTTGTGCCATGCATCCATGGAGAGGCTCTCTGAGGACCCAGGAGACAAAGGAAAAGTTTCAAAACGCCCACAGGAACACAGAGAAAGAGCTAAACTGGGTCAACTATAACCAGGGACACAAAAAACTGTCACTGGGCAGAGTTATACTACCCTTTGAATCAATAATAACAGCATCAGCAGTTACAGCCCTGCCCCGGCTTGTGCTCCGCAGCCTGTGGCAGACTGCTGGTGTGTCCTCAAGTTGCAGATCCAAGCAAACCTCTTCCCACACTGGTTGCAGCTGAAGGGTTTCTCCCCCGTGTGAACCCTTTGGTGCTTTTTCAGGTTTCCAGCCTCAGAGAAGTGCTTCCCACAAGTGTCACAGCGGAAAGGCTTCTCGCCTGTGTGCACTCTCTTGTGGACCTCTAGATTGGACAGGCCAGAGAAAGCTTTTCCGCAGGCTCCACATACGTAACTCTTCCTGCGGCGCTCTGTGGGCAAAGTGCATGCAGCACGATTTTTATTAAGGTTAGTGAGGAGAGTTGTCCGATGCTGTGGGGCGATGGCCACCTCAGTGCTGGCCAGCGGTGCTACAGCTCCCCGGACTGATAGAGAGGACTGTGGAGCCCCAGCTGTCTTGGTTTTACTTGTTTTACTGACAGCACCTGTGCTGGAGGACGGTGTGATTCGTGAGGGAGGGACGGTGCTTTCCTGTTGAGAGTAAGTGTTGCCATTTTGAAGCTGCTGCACTTGAGCCTGTGCTGGTGTTCTCCTCCAGGAAGGCTGGGAAGATCCTGGATCCTGCATTCTCAAAGACGTGGGTGCAGAAGTCCCTGAGGAACCAGAGAAAACAAGGAATCAGCTGTCACTAAACTCGGAGCCAGGCAGTTATATGTGATGGTTGCTTTTCCAAGATGAGCGCTATTAATTCTCTATAGGCTCGTCTTGTTCGTGTATTTACTCATTTCTCTTAATGGTATTTCTGTGTAACACAAGTAAATATAAATATATATTAAAAATAAAAGCACCAATGGCTGCACCAGTAAAAACATACAAGGAAAAACAACAAATTCATACAGCAGAAACACGCAAATCAACAACGAGAGGAGCTAAAACAAGTGTGCGCACGCACACAAAGGTTGTTGATCCCTCAGTTTGAACTTCATGTTGCGACTAAACGGCTGGCCATCCTCTCCTCCTCCATCACCGTGTGGTATGCTGGAGCTGCTGAGAAGGTGATTGGCTGCAGACTCCCATCTCTGCAGGACCTGTACACCTCCAGGACACTGGGGCGTGCAGCTCGGATCTCAGCTGACCCTTCTCCCCCTGGACACAGTCTGTTTGACCTGCTCCCCTCAGGCAGGAAGCTCCGGTCCATTCGCACCAGAACCTCTCGCCATAAGAACATTTTCTTCCCCTCTGCTGTTGGACACATGAACAATAACCATATGACTGTCCCCGCCACTAACACATGACCCTACGCTGTGTCACTGCATCATTCCATGTTTGGCACTGATCACCACCTGCACTCATGTGTATATCTATCTACTGTTTATTTAAGCGTTATCTGACAGTATGTTTGCACTAAGTACCGCAGCAATTTTCCTAATGTTGTAAACCTGCTCAACATTTGGCAATAAAACCCTTTCTGACTCTGATTTGTTAAACTCAGCGTCCTACTCACTGCACTCACTCTGCTGGTCCACAGACTGTGACATTAGCATCTTCAGACCCTAAAGCATGCAATAGTACAATAGAGACTTTTCATCACCAGTATCTTTTTGTCAGGCTTCAGCAATAACAGCTGCCACAATGAGCTCAGTGTGTAAAGGAAAGCTTAACTAACAATAAAAATAATACATTTCATTTGAAAGCGCCTTTCAGAACACTCAAGGACACTGTACACAGCAGAATAATAAAAGCAACATAAAAGCCAGCAGTTTACACAATCATAAAAGCAAAAGACATAAAACAAATTTAAAATAGCAGAGTGGAGAGGTTATGTGGGATAAGCTGTTTTGAACGGGTTTTGAGTTGGGACCTAAAGAGAGAGAAGGAGGTGATATTTCTTAAATCAGGAGGTCAGGAATTCCAGAGTGGAGCAGCTGAAAGCTCCCCATGGTGGCCAAACAGGGGGAGGGGACGGAGAGAGAAAGGGAAGAAGAAGATCTGAGACACCGAGATGGGGCGGTGATCTGAACCAGATCAGGAGAGATGATGAATAGCCTTAAATGTGTACAAGAGTATTTTGAAATTGATACGATATTTGACCAGGAGCCAGTGAAGCTGCTGCAGGACAGGAGTGATGTGGTGGACAGAAGGGGTCCTGGTGATGATACGGGCAGCATTTCTGGGCGCGTTGAAGCTTGTGGACGAATGTTTGAGTAAGACCATAAAGAAGTGAATTACAGTAATCGATCCAGGAAGTAACAAGGATGTGGACAAGAATGGCAGCAGCATGTGGGGTGAGAAAAGGACGGAGACGATTAATGTTGCGCAATTGAAAATATGCAGACCGAGTGACGTTATTAATGTGTGAATCGAAAAGTACTGTCGAGGATGAGACCCAAGCTTTTCACAGAGGAAGAAACGAAGACTGGCGAGTTATTGATAGTAACAGAGAAGCTGTTGGTTCTGCATAATGTAGATTTAGTGCCGACCAAGAGGAGCTCGGATTTGTTACTGTTGAGTTTGAGAAAATTAGAAGAGAACCATGAATTTAGTTCAGCTAAACAGAGGGTGAGGGAGGATGGGGGAAGAGCAGAGTCAGGTTTAGTGGACAGATACAGCTGGGTGTCATCGGCATAACAGTGAAACTGGATGTTGTATTTATGTCCGAGCGGAAGAAGGTAGATAATGACAAGAAGGGGCCCAGGACAGATCCCTGGGGCACGCCAGTGGTCAGAGGAAAGGGCTGAGAAGTAAAGGATTTGAGTTGAATAAACTGAGTGTGATCAGACAGGTACGATTTAAACCAGGCTAGTGGAGTATGGGAGAGACCGATGGAGGCTAGCCTACTGAGGAGAACAGAGTGAGAAATAGTGTCGAAAGCAGTGCTCAGATCGAGGAGAATAAGAATGGAGAGTAGACCAGAGTCAGCTGCCATAAGAAGATCATTGGTTAATTTTATAAGTGCTGTTTCAATGCTGCGAGACTGGAACTGTTCACAGAGATTATTATTAGTTAAATGTGAGTGCAGTTGTGTGGCTCAAGAATGAGTCCAGCACACAATCACCCGTCTGCTGTCGACCTGTCTGCTATCACTTTGATGACCACTCCGACGTGGCACCAGTGGAAGCTTTGACAGCACACACTACTGGTTTTAAGTACGTTGATGGAACATCAATAAAGTGATCCAAATATCTGAAGGTGTACACAGGCAGGGCAAAACAACAGCATTAAGAGGCCGTACTGAGGAAAGCAGACAAAGTGTTACCCTGTGATGCAGACGGCCGGCCTGCAGAGGAGAAACTCTGCCCTCCGCTCGGCTTCAACGCCGAGGACGTCGAGGTCTGTGGGGGATCGAGCACTTGCCAAGGCTGTCGACGAGTGTCTATGATAACAACTCTATCCTGGTCACGTTCAGTTGACTTGTTAGGAACAAATGCACATGAAGAGCCACCAGGAGCTGACACAGGGTCATTATCAGGGGCCCAGCGGGTGAAGAAGGTTTCCAGTTCAAAGAGAGAGTAGTCACAGCTCGTGGGGTTGTTGCTGCATCGCTGCTGCTGCTGCTTGGTTGGGTTGGCTGGCATGTTGGTGTCTGGTACCCTCAGCTGGGCCGCCACAATGCTGCTGATATCTTCTGATTCTGCAGGGGTCCTTTGAGGTACTGCAACCTGGAAGGAGAGCAGAAGAAGGACCAAGCTTCATGACACAGGCTTACAGGACTGGGTTGAAAGTTTGAAACTAACAGAAGTTTGCTCATCCTTTTCTTACGAGAATGTACAGAGAATTATAGTTTCTGTACAAATGTAACAGAAAATGTAACAGAAGCCACAAACTAATCTGTGTACGTGCTCCACTGACAGAAGAGCTGCCACAACAGTCACAGTGTGGTTACTTTAGTAGTCAGAAGGTATAGGCTGAGTCGCGTGTCCTCTAATTAGAGCGAAAGGGCCGTCTGTGTATGATGACGATGCCACAGACAGCACACTTTTATTTTTCACTCAGTGTTACACTGGACTGCTTTGGTTAGAGAAAAAAAGATGAGGTCATGAAGATCCCTACAGGAAAATTCATTTCTATATCTATATCATAAACCATAACGCAGTGACAGCGGAGTCCAGCTATCAGCCAGCTCTGTGGTCAATGGTACACTGACCAGAGGATTAAGCTGGAATGTTTCTGATGGGGGAGATGTTGGAGCACCCAGAGCATAGGGAGCCCTGCCCTGGTCCAGGTTGGAACCAAGGACCTGGTAGACGTTTCTTCCTCAGACAAAGGGAGATTCTCAGACATAGACTTCAGGAAAATGTAGCTGCTTCTTCCTTTTAAAAGGAGTCAGGGGGTTTTGCCATTTGATTACAATGAGTCCTGGAAACTTTCCATTACAGGTCCTGGTGGGAAATATCTAGAAAATACTGCAATTCAATTTAACTTGTGTTTACGATAACATGGCACTAGTTCAGGACTTTAACAGTGCTAAATTTATTGAAAATTGCTGCACCTATTTCCATTTCCCAGTTTAGCACAGTTTGTACAAGTCTGATGATGCTGAAGTATTTAGTACAATATTTGGTATGAGCACATTTATGTTCCTCTTTTTCTGTCATTTCTATATAGTCTTCAGGAAAAGTTCTCCAGGCTTCTTGAAGGACATCCATAGCTCTTCTTTGGATGTTTCTGCCTTTTGTTCTGTAAAAGATTATCCCAAACTGCTTCAGTGATGTTGAGGTCTGGGCTATGGGGAGGTCCATCCACGACTGACAGCGTTGTGTTTTTCTATCCAGATATGCTTTTACTTCACATATTTGGGATCACTGCCATGCTGAAAAATGAAGCTACTGTCCATCAGATGCTCTTCAGATGCAACTGCATGGTTGGTCTGAATTTTATGGTACTTTTCTGTCTTTATAATTACACCAATTTGACAAGATCCCAACACCAGTGGTTGAAATTTAGCCATACCACGCCAGAAGCCCTACCGTGTTTTACAGATGGCTGTAGACCCTCACTGTTGTACCTCTGTCCTGACCTGCTCCATAGTGACATCCATTTGATCTTAAAGGTTTAAGTAGCATGTAAAAGTCATCACTTCATCAGACCTGTTTGACTGATTTTCAGTCCAGTTCCTGTTTAATGTTCACACTTGATCCTTTTCTCTGGCTTCTTTACAGCCACTGAAACCTTTTCTGGTGAGGCTTTAGTGACCAGTCATTGGTCAGCTGCAGGTCCAGATGCATCTCTCCGGTCCCGTGTTTCTTACTGACATGGCTTTGAGATACTGTTGGTCTGCTGCAGTTTTTTAGGTTTGGAACTTCCTCTCTCGTCATCCACACTTTGCAAAATTACTGGCTAAAAGATCTTTGAGAATTTTCTTGACACAACAAAAATATATTACGCCTGTGAAACTGTCATCTTTGACATTTGTTTGGTTTTAGTGACAGCCTCCCTTTACAATTGGTTGACTATTGTGTGTAGATGTAACCCTGGTTCATGCCTGAATGATTCACAGGTCAGAGTTCAGTCGCATAACAAACACAGATGAAAGCTGTCCTGTACAGGACAGGACCAAAGATGACTGAAAACTGCAAAATCCATTTACTTTTGGAGTTCAGAGTATTGCAGTGTTTTGAGTAAACTAGTATGTATGCATGCAGTTCTGTTTGTTTGACTGTAGGTCACTGTAAACCATCTGAACCAACTACAGCACACAGAACAGGGGCTGAAGGTTTATGGTGAGGGTGATATTTCTGTCTGTGTCCAAACACAAACAAGTCAAGATATGGTTGATAATAAAAACCACAGTTTTTAGATTTCCTTTACTGGTTTACAGTGTAAATCATTGATACGTGTGGGTGGAGGCACTCCGAAGCCTGAACAAGTGAGAAGGGTTGTGTCAGGAAGGTCATCCAGCTTAAAACCTTCACCACATCAAACATGAAGACGGAGATGAAAGTGTGAAGACAGGCAGCAAGTCAGAGGGAACAGCAGGAGTGTGGAGGTGTGAGGTCTATGAGTATAAAGGGAGAGACGGCCTGAACTGTGGTACTGTGTGTGGGAGGAGCTACAGGTGGGCTTGAGCTGGGGGTGGGATTACATCAGGGACCTGCAGCGCTGATGGACAGGCGATGAGGTCAGGTAGGAGTCTCTGTGGACTGTGATGTTTGCAGATGAGGGAGCGGGTGGAGGAGAGCCTGGAGAGTAGAGGAATGAAAGTCAGCAGAAAGGTGTGTGTGAATGAGACCAGAGGAAAGGTGAACATGTAAGGAGCAGAGACAGTGAAGGAGGATGAGTTTAAATACCTGGGACCATCCAGAGAGAGCTGCAGGCAGGGTGGAGTGGGTGGAGAAGAGTGTCAGAAGGATAGCTGCGAGAGTGAACGGGAAGGTTTTAGAAGATGGCAGTGAGAGCTGCTGTGATGTATGATGTGGAGACGGTGGCACTGACACAAAGACAGGACGCAGAGCTGAAGATGCTCAGGTGTTCACTGCGAGTGAGCGGGATGGACAGGACTAGAGGCTGGGATGGTTCGCACATGTGCAGAGCAGGGAGGGTGGATGTACTGGACATAGGATGATGAAGATGGAGCGGGAAAGAGGAAGACCTCAGAGGAGGTTCATGGATGTAGTGAAGGAGGAGATGCAGGGCGATGCTGGGATAGGGTGAGGCTGATGATGCTGTGGAGACATCAGCGATGTGTTTGCAGAGGGTGGTTACTGGGACTATAATTAACTGGACAACAGTGCCAATCCCCAAGAACCATTACAGCCTCTGCTCCATGCTTAGAAGGGGAGATTTTGTGTGTCCACCTTATTTCTGCCTCACAAAGACATGACGGCTTCAATCAAACATCACATTTGGAGTCATCATTCCTAATTATCGATTTCAACTTGTCCAGTACGTTGTTCTCTCCATTTCTCACCATCAGTACTGGTTTCCTTGAAGCACTTCCACTATGAAGGCCTGACTCACAGTGTTTTCCCATCAGATGTTACTGGAACACCACCGAGTCCTTGGTTCAGGTATGTGGATGACACCTGGGTGAAAATCAGATCTCAGAATCCCAGGTTCTAGTTCGATGTTTCAGGTAGTGTGTAATGTTTAGCTTACCCCAGTTTAGGTGTTTGTTAGTTTCTCTCTCTTTGTTTTTGTTTGTACTTTTGCTCAGCCAAATAACGGCTTGTGTTTCGTTCATCACCTCACTCTGCCTCCATCATGTTTTTGGGTCTCACTCCACGCCGTCTGCTTCACCTTCAGACGTGACAACCTGGGCCTCACAGAGTTTCTGTCTGATTTTTCAAAGTTTTTATCTGATTTAGTGCTCAGCTCAGATAAAATAATTATTGTGGGTGATTTTAACATCCATGTAGATGCTAAAAATAACAGCCTCAACATGGCATTTAATCTGTTATTAGTAGGGGTGGGTTAAAAAATCGATTTTAGTTTGAATAAAGCGACATCAATTCAATAAATCCTGAACCGATTTTTAAATATAAATGTATTTTTCCAGAAATGCCAGAATCTCAGCTTAAAGCTCACAAAACTATTTGAACAACCGCCGAACAGCTAAAACAGGAAATGAGAGCAGGTACATGGATTTCATTCACCGTGGATCGTTCACCCGGCAGCACGTACACGGACAACCTGTCAGGGCTGAAAATTTCACAGATTCTGATGCTGCAGGTTGAGTAACTCCGACTAAAACTGACTGAACCAGCAGCAAAAGGAGATCCAAACTACACTTCATGTTTGATAAGCATCGTCATCTCGGACCTTTGCTGTTTTGCTTCCACCACGATAAAATCACACTTCCTGCACAGCTCTCTCTCTCTCTGTACTTCAAGAACAGTTTCCCGTCTCAAATCTGTTTCTGCATTACTCTCTGCTTATTAAGCATCAGCCTACTGTTCTATTCAGTGCTGTTGGCCCCTGTTTTTTTCTCAACAATGACATCTGACATCAAAACCTCATTTCTGCAGTTTAAGATCGAAGAAATAGAAACTTTACACTCAGCTGTGTCTGTAATCAAACCTCTATAACTTTGCTCTGCTTCACTTCAGCAGCATCAGGTGATGTTTATACAGAGATGGGCAGTAACGCGTTACTGTAATCCGATTACTTTTTTCAAGTAACGAGTAAAGTAAGGGATTACTATTGCAAAAAAGGTAATTAGATTACTGTTACTTTCCCGTAGGAACGCTGCGTTACTGTGTTACTAAAACCGTGATTTTTTTGGGAGAATGTCTCACGACAGTGACGTAAGCGAGTGCGACGTTAGTGACAACAGCTGTGTGCAGATCAACAATGGATCACATATCGA